CCTATTTCCGGTGGTCGAAAAGGGGAAAAACTGGGATTTGCTAGTTTCAAAATAACAAAAACAGAAAAAGTGGCATGGTTTAAATTGAGTGAATGCTTTTGTTTTCAGCGTCTTCACTCACTATCATAGCTGGATACTAATGCTTAAGATAAACGACATTTTAACCATAAATTTCCAATATGATCAAAGGATTGCAATGATTCTTCATTATCTCATCACTACCGTAATCAGTTTTTCTATTTCTTATTCTATCAATAGGTGAAATATCAATGAATTAGTTGCACTGGATCCGATTTTCCAATCCAAATCAGTTCTTAACTTTAGCCTTGACTTAACAGCCATAGTTTTGACTTTTCTGGAACTTCTAGAATGATTGATGGCTGTTAAAATTGCTCAAAAATTCATTCATTTGAAAAAAAAATACATTTGAAACCACTTTCTTCAATAAAGAATCGAAATTGGCTTGAACATTGGCTAAAAATAGAATCTGATGCATTTCGCTTCTACTCGATCTCTTCAAAAGAGGTCAACTTGAATCCCCATCAAGACTTAATCCACACCTGGATTAGTAAATAGAGCAAAAGAGAGGTTAAAGTTAAGGTTAAAGAGTTCTAAACTCAATTTCTAAATACCGTATTCTCTCTAATAGTAGTGCGCACTACTATTTTTTCAACCCCCTCCTGGACCGCAATACTATTAGAGAGTGCAATACTATTAAAGAGTTTTATCAATTACCAAAGTAAGACAGATATAAGATTTGTTGATATTAGCGAGTTGACAATTTGTGTCTTGACATGAATAAGTTTAGCCATCCCTCCGATGCCGAAAATTCCTCGTCATCTTTCCACATTAACTTGGCTTGGCATTGAATCATTTTTCGTGTCACTCGCATCTTCTTTGCCCGCATTTCTTGAATCCAAGCAACGAGATCCTTGTCAAAATCGATATCCTTGAGCTTTCGTCCACCGCCTTTGATTCGTTTTTTTCCTTTTCCGTTATCTCTGTTTTGTTTCTCGAGTTCTTCCTTTTGACGACTGACTCCAAATTTTCGCGCTGCAGCCGACTTATCCTTTATTTTTTCCGCAAGAGCAATCGCTTTCAGCTTTGTTTGAATGTCGAAACATCGCTTTCTCGCCGATGGTGCATCCGCTTCACACGAAGACTCCTCGGCAACATCCTTGGTCATGTTGTAGCCAGCATTTTGCTCGGTCACTTGATTGTCGATCCTCTTGAAGCTTTCCACATGTTCCTCGTGTTCACGACGAGCTCGAAAGTTTTCGAATCCATGAAGCGAATTCCCATCGAAATCCATACCTAAAGAAAAAGATTATTTAGACAATAGTAAAGGTGATCAACAAAAATTATATAATATTAAAATCGAACATGATGGATTATTTTCTAGGATTGAGCTTTGATAACAATAAAGTTAAGCGCCGCAAAAGGTAAGTCAATCTCAAACTTTATACAGGTATATAAGAGCAAAAAATAACTATAGCTTTGCTTGAGTTAATGTGCCACTAAAACAACGTGTGGGAACAAAAAAAGATGCTTAGGCACTTTGCACAACAATTTCAGTTTTTTTTGCTAACTTTTTCAGGTGAAGAATAGTTCACAAATGAATAAAAAAGCCTCACTTTTGCTTGCTTGAATAGCTTTAGAATGTCACATAAACATAAAGATATTCAGTCAAAAAGGTTTAGATCAAAAAGAAGCGCTATAAATCCAACTTTTCAAGGGTGCACTACTATTTTTTCAACCCCCTCTCGGACCGCAATACTATTAGAGAGTGCAATACTATTAGAGAGAATACGGTATTTTTCTTTTGAAATTAACTCAATCCATTGGCTCCTTAGCTTGGCTCAATTCATTGGCTCCTTAACTTGGCTCAATTCATTGGCTCCTTAACTTGGCTCAATTCATTGGCTCCTTAGCTTGGCTCAATCCATTGGCTTCTTAGCTTGGCTCAATTCATTGGCTCCTTAACTTGACTCAATCCATTGACATTCCCCCTTCAAAATGAAGTAAATTCAAGTGGTGACAGATTTGAGAAAGGAAAAAAAGGATTGAAAAGGGGAAACGAGTGATGATCAAAGATGAACGATCATTTTGAGTCTACAAATTCATAAGTTATCTAATACTTTTATATATGATCGTGAGCCTTGTTTATTGTTCACAATATTTTTACAAAGCTTCATAAACTAATTTAAAATCTATTCTTCGAATCCGTTTTTAGCTAAAGTTCATTCCAGAATAAATTCCATTCCAGACTCGAGTTCTAAGTAGATAAGATTAACAATAAATGTGGTTAAATAGTTAAATCATTGATCCTATCGTTTGTTTATTAGTTTTTAGAAGCATTTGTCGCTCTGTTTATCCATTTTAATAGTTTAAATTAGTCGTTGAGATAAGTCAAAGTGTAGTCACTGTTTTTAGTTCATTTTTAGGGTTATAAGAGACAGGAAAACGAATTTTGGTGTTTCGATGTGGATATTTACCATCATAAAATAGATCAAGCGTAACTAGAAAACTCTTGAAAACATAAAGATAACCAATAGCTATAGATAAATGAAAGTTTACAGTAGTTTGAAGAATCCGGGATTTACATAATAACAACAGAATTACACTTATCATTTACAATTACATTTTACATATTTTCAGTCAAATCGTCTTCATCTACAGACTCTGTTTTAGCTAAATAACTGATTTAGGTCCATTTAGATCCATTTAGATTCATTTTTAGATCCATTTCTAGATTCATTTTTTAGATTTTGTTTAACCCAATCGATTGTTTCTCTCAAAAAAAACTCAAATTTTAACTCTCAGCCAATCATTGGCTTATAAAGTTCGACTCTTCAAGTGTTCCAACAAATTCTATCCCTTCAAATGAGCAGCTCATAGAAAGCTCACAAAACCTATTAAAAAAGCCATATGCTCAAATGATTTGAATCGATTTTTTTGAGAGGAAATGAGAATCCAAGAGATCCAAGAGATCCAAGTGAACCAAGAGCTTTAAGTGGTCCATTTTTAAATTCATTTCTAGATTCATTTTTTAGATTTTCTTTAACCCAATCAATTGTTTCTCGCAAAAAAACTCTCATTTGAACTCTCAGCCAATCATTGGCTTATAAAGTTCGACTCTTCAAGTGTTCCAACAAATTCTATCCCATCAAATGAGCAGCTCATAGAAAGCTCACAAAACCTATTAAAAAAGCCATATGCTCAAATGATTTGAATCGATTTTTTTGAGAGGAAATGAGAATCCAAGAGATCCAAGAGATCCAAAAGATCCAAGAGATCCAAGAGAACCAAGAGCTTCAAGTGGTCGTCGAAAGGAAACAAAAAGTCAGTTGGCCCTGGAGGAGAGGAAATTTTGGTGGAAAACAATCGAGAGGATTGGCAATGAGTGGGACTCCGGGAAAAGACCTTTGTTGGGTGATCGATCCCCTTTTCCCCCTTTTTGATCTCTTCCCACCGATCTCGCCCTCCAATCTTTCCCCTCCTTTCTTTTCTCGAATCGAATCGATTGGACTCACTCTCTTGAGCCCAACAACTACCACTTTATAACAATTCTTGTTGTTATTTTGAGTTTAACACTTTGAGGAAAGCTAATTGGTTAAATCCTTTATCGCAAACGCTCTTTCATAACCTAAATTAGTGTAAAAAGATTGATATTTGACTTGTATTGTCCCCCCTTTGATTCACTTTACGATAACTTTAGCTATTAGTAAGCTAACAGTAAGTTAGTAAGCTATTAGCAAGCTGTTAGTAAGCTATTAGTAAGCTAGTAAGCTATTAGTAAGTTAGTAATCTATTAGTAAGCTATTAGTAAGTTAGTAAGCTTACGAGAGAACTGTTTCAACCTAGCACCGTTTTTCGAAACCAAACTTGGCTATAAAACGCCCCCGTAGAATTCTAAGAAACATTCTATTTTTTATTTTTTTCCGTATTTATTACTTTTTATACTTGTAATAAAAAAGGAAACAATCTGGCGGCAAGCGGAATTGAACCCACGAGAGTTGAAGGCATAGGTTTTGGAGTCTAGCATACTATCCCCTAGGCCACCACTTTCGATGGCTTTTGGCAGTGGCGCCCTCTTATAAATAAGGTGGCGGTTTTCGAGAAAAACCTGTTCAAAGTTTCGGCAATTTTTGGCAGACCTTACCTATAACGGGGCGCCACACGGAAAGGCGGCAAAAGCAGCGGTGGCCTAGGGGATAGTGTGCTGGACTCCAAGACCTATGCCTTCAATCCTCGCGGGTTCAATTCCGCTTGCCGCCAGATTCTTTGCTTTTTTTTTATCAAAAGTATAAAAAAAGTTTTAAATACGAGAAAAAAATCCGTGTTTCTTAGAATTTTACCTTTTTTTTCTATTCTAAAGGGCTTTTGTAGCTAGGTCCGATGTCAATTCCAATTTCGATTTCGAAAATCGGTGGGGAGTTGAAACATTTCCCTAGTTAGACTTGAAAAAGTAACTTTCTGTTGCGCAAAAAAAAAGTTGCGGAAACTAGCCTACCCCGTCAAAGTGTCGACACTGTTTTTAGTTCATTTTTAGGTTCAAAAAGCTTTTTGCTACTTTATCTCTAGATTTACTTCAATTCAATCGAATTCAATTTTATGCAATTCTTTTAGCATTAAAAGCTTTATACTGAAACATGTTTGTTAGGCTTTTATAAAAAAAAAAAACAAGTGTTTGCGCGCGTTTTCCCCTTGAAATTTGAGCCTCTCGCAGATTGGGGATGAGTGAAAAACCAAGTTTTAAACTTTTTAAACTTTTTGGATTATGTAGAAACTTGTAGCATCACTTTTTTTTGGACTCGTTTGTCATTTGTTTCAATTTCATTTGTCAATTTTGTAGAGTTACAGAAGACAGAAGTGCAAAATCTTTGATCGACAAGTGATTCGAAGTCAACAACTCGATTTTTTGATTTTTTGACGATTTTATTTTGAAGCCAAAAAGGGAAAACGATGCGAATTAGGGGAATCAATCGATTGGGTGGAGGATGAACTATCTGCGAGTGCCAGAGAGTCCATCCTCGAGGAGGAGGCTCACCGATTTGCAACAGGTCGGGAAGAACAAGATTGGCTAATTGATGGGTGATCGGCAAGGCTTTTTTTGAGCACTAGACTTGTTCAGATTGATTTATTACCTATTTAACTATAGATTAACGACCGGACTGTCGATTGGAGAACCACATTTAGTAAACTCCTCGTCTGTTAGAAGCAGTACGATATCATACTGTATCTACAGTATGATATCGTAGCTCTGTTTACTGTAGCTCTCTTTACGCATTGGTCTGATTTCTGTATCTATCGCTTACTGTATCCAAAACAGATAGGATCCAGCTAGATCCAGCTAGATCCAGCTAGATCCAGCTAGATCCAGCTAGATCCAGCTAAACCCTATTTACTGGACTAGACGTGTATCGCCAACAAAACAGCAATATTCTAGAACAATCTATTGGCAATCTGTATCTCAAAAAGTTTCGATTAACAGTCTGAGACATCTGGATAAAAGCTGGTAGTAAACCCAAAAATTAGAGAGCTGGATTGGTTACCATTAGTCTTTCTTCATTTACCTACAATTCTTTTAACACTCAACAAAAACAAGAGACCAATAAAAGCTATTAGATCACTAGCCTACTATCTATGCTACATCCGAATACGAACTAAACCCTTGACCACCCCACTTTCCGCACCTGTATCTCCAAAACTAATGGACCGATCTTGATGATTTTCGTGTCATTTTGTAGAGAAAGATCCTTAAAGTGAAGTTAATTTAGTGATTTCTTTATTTATTTACTAGTTAGACGAATAAAAACCTTACCGATCACCGCCTCAATGCCCCATTCAAACCCCCAATCCTTTCTTGTAGACTCTAAACGATTTCCGAAAGAAGAGCATCTCCGAGCTTTCCCTGGTAATCGACGCATTGAGAGGAAGTCCATCACCGAGTGGATCCACTCAACACATTCATCCGGAGCGATTCTCGCAAAGTACCGGCAATCTCCCGCATGAGCACGAGGGTGGAAAGAAACGGAAGAAAAGTCGCCGAAAGAAAGTTCAATCAACGTGGCATGCGCTTAAGCCGACGAATATTCAGCGCAGTTATGTGTTGAGTGAGTTTTTGGAGTCTGTAATTTTATAGCCGAAAGGTCAATCCTTTTTTTCAAACTTGCAAAAGTCTATCTGTACTCTAAGTAGCTTGCTATTTAAGTTAGATGTTTAAGTTAGATGCCTAGAGTTTAAAAATCCTGTTTTGTTTTTGAATTGGTTAGACAGTTAAAAGTTAAAAGTTTTTCCATTTTGGCATCATTTTTTTTTCGCATTCTTTCTTAATTTTTCTCAAAAATAACCCCTCAACCGTTTGAACGGTGAGCAAATAGTAAAGAAAAATCGCCGAAAGAAAGTCCAATCAACGTGCGCTTAGGCCGACGAATATTCAGCGCAGTTATGTGTTGAGTAAGTTTTTGAACTCTATAATTTTATAACTGAAAGGTCAATCCTTTTTTTCAGACTTGCAAAAGTCTATCTGTACGCTAAGTAACGTGCTATTTAAGTTAGATGCCTAGAGTTTAAAAGTCCTTTGTTTAGTTTTTGAATTGGTTAGACAGCGAAAAGCTAAAAGTTTTTCCATTTCTGCATCATTTTAGCATCACTTTTTCGCATTCTTTCTTAATTTTTCTCAAAAATAACCCCTCAACCGTTTGAATGGTGAGCAAATAGTAAAGAAAAATCGCAAGTTTTGTGTATTTTAAGGTATTTGCTTGAGAGAACAGTACACTTTATGTGGGAGGGATTTCTGTTAAAAAAAAAAGATATCTTTAAATCTCTATCTTAAATCTCTAAAGATTCGAAATCCAATGTTGATCCATCGAAATCCAATTATTTCTAAAAAAATGGATACTTATTTTCAAAATCTTTCTTTATCTTGGAAAGATTGGAAAGAATTGAGCTTAAAATCTCGAATTTCAAAGTTTCTATCACCTGTAAATCTATTCAATTATGTTAAAAAGCTATTCAAAGATTTCTATGAGGAAAATCTATTGAAAAATGATATGGAAAGAATTAGAAATCTATTGGAAAAAGGTATGCAAAGTTTGTTTGAAGGTAAGTTTGAAATATTTACGAAATTTTTTTTTGAGAAAAAGAGTTGAGCTGTTTACAAAATGCCATATGTTTAAATGATTGGTTTTCAAGAAAATAAAATTCATTTTTAAATATATATTCTATATAAAATGAGCAAACGAGAACGTGGTTTGGAGTTTTATTTTTTTAAATTTATCGAATTTTAGTCCAAGAGGAGAAAGCGATGCAAGCGGTGCCAACAGCGCCGATTGATGCCTCGAAATTCGTCGCCTATGTGACAGAGAGAAGGAAAAAGAGGATACTTTTCAAAGGAGAATATTTGGTGAGAATTTTGAAAGGATTTTTACTCGTATCTAGACTCTCGTGTACTTTGTGCTCTCACGTCGAAACACATCTTTTCTAGTGAACTTGAATGTTTGAATTTTTGCTTGAAAAAGTTTACAAGGAAGAATCTCGTTTACATTGTCGTTTACAAGGAAGAAGAATTCATTCTCAAAGCTCTGTAAGAAAGGTGAATCCTTTTTTCAGACTTGCAAAAGTCTAGTCTACAAGGAAGAATCTCTAGTCCCCCAGAAAGTCCACGCTTCTGTGGTTTTTTGGCATAAAACAGACTCATCGAAGTTTCACTAGTGGGAATACATCCATCCTCAAGTAGCCCAGTTTTCCTTTCAAATTAAACTTTATCTTGCTGCGCTTGCTGTTATTCGGGAAAATTCGGGTTCAGCGCTGAAGAAGGCGCGTTTCCACTGAACACAAAGTAAACTCAAACTTGTTCTTTGTTCTCAGAACTTTTAGTCTCCAAATTTCTTCTCTTTTCTATTCTTATTTCTTATCTCTATTCAAATATCTCTTATTCTAAGATTCTCTGAATCATTTGATTGTTTAATATATTAATAATGTAGTTTAAATTGTATAAAAGTATGCTTAAAAAGTATTTTTTGAATTTGAGCCTTTTTGAAGATTCAGAACATTTTGGAGCTGATTCGGGTTCGATTTGGGGCCAATTCTAGTAGCTTTTCATAACTAGAATCTTTCTAGACATTTGAAAAAACCGAAAAGAAAAGAGAAACGAAATTCAGTGCACTAGAGAGGATGTGTTTCTATTTTTTCAACAAAATACACTCAAAGTTGTTCTTTGTTCTCAGAAATTTTAATCTTCAAATTTCTTATCTCTTTTCTATTAGATTCTCTGAATCATTTGATTGCTTAATATATCAATAATGTAGTTTAAAATGTATAAAAGTATTCTTAAAAAGACTATTTTTTTGAGTTTGAGCCTTTTTGAAGATTTGGAACATTTAGGAGCTGATTCGGGTTCGATTTGGGGCCAATTCTAGTAGTTTTTCATAACTAGAATCTTTCTAGACGTTTGAAAAAACCAAAGAGAAAAGTGAAACGGAATTCAGTGCACTAGAGAGGGTGTGTTTCTATTTTTTCCACTCAAATTTGCTCTTTTTGATGGAAACGTGCATTCTTGTGCACTCAACTAGCTTTTCTAGGCGTTTCAAGGAAAATGAAAAATTCAATCCACCAGAAGGGTTATTTTTCCAGCAAAAGAGCTGAAAAATTATCAGATTAATGAATTTTTTCAAAGCTAAGCTTTCATATTTCTTGATTTTCTTGGTTCTTTATTTTCCAACTTATTTCCCTAATCCTTTTCTTGTCGAACTTGTCATTTTGAAGCGAAGAAAGCGGATCGAAGAAAGATTTGATGGGTTCTCTAGAAAATCCTCCGTAACCCCCTCAATTTCATGACAAGTTTCTAACAAAAAAGACACAGAAAACAAGGGAGTTGACCTGAGATCTGAGATCTAGGATATCCGTTGAAAAGAGCGGTTGTTCTTCTTTCCTTTTCTTTCCTTTCCTATTTTCCTTTAGACCCCCAGGTTGTTGCTGTAATAAGTTGTGTCCCGTGAAGGATCTCCTTCTCTTTTCTCTTTTCTCTTTTCTCTTTTCACCCATCTACCTATTGATGAGCGAAAAAAAACCTTGACAAAACTCTTTGGGGAACGAAAAAAAACACTTGGTGATACAGGGTGATTTTTTGATGAAACTTTCGAGAGCTGAGATGAAGACTGATGAAAAGTCTACAGAATTTATAAGTAATTGAAAGGAAAAAAAGAAGCACAAGCAGCAAGCACAAGCAGCAAGCACAAGCACAATTATAGCAATAGAAAAGAGAAGAAATTTGAAGATTAAAAGTTCTGAGGACAAAGAAGAAGTTTGAGTTTACTTTGTTGAAAAAATAGAAATACACCCTCTCTAGTGCACTGAATTCCGTTTCTCTTTTCTTTTCGGTTTTTTCAAATGTCTAGAAAGATTCCAGTTATTAAAAAACTACTAGAATTGGCCCCAAATCGAACCCGAATCAGCTCCAAAATGTTCTGAATCTTCAAAAAGGCTCAAACTCAAAAGATTTTTTGATGAAACTTTCGAGAGCTGAGATGAAGACTGATGAAAAGTCTACAGAATTTATAAGTAATTGAAAGGAAAGAAAAAAAAGCACAAGCTTGCACAAGCTTACAATTATAGCAAAATACTGTTTTTCATTTGATTATTATAAGCAATATCTGGCTTTTGCTTTAGCTTGCCTGCTTAACTGCTGTCACTTGTCATTGCCTAATTATAAGTACTGCCAGAGATTTTGATTTCTTTAAATCTAGCTCAAGATTGACGGTTTTTGAGTGAGTTATTCAAATAATTCAAATAATGATAATTCAAATAATGATAATTCAAATTTAAAATTCAGTGAGTTATTCAGATTGAGTGCGATCTTTTATCAATGAAATATTAAGCTAAAATGCTTAGTGTGGCGAAATGCCACTGCTCTGCAGTTAGTCAAAAATTCAATACAAGTTAAAATTCAAAGTTGATGGATAAACTACCGTAATCAGTCACTAGATGATATTCAGCTAGCTAATCTCTTGCACTTAGCTAAATAAATAGAAAGTGATTGAATTATTAAAAAAATCTATAGGAAAGTTTAAATTTTTCATTTTCAGATGATCCAGCGCTCGATCGACGCCCAAAAAGGTCGATCCGACGTCGGGACGACGATGACTGAAAGAAATCCGTATCCGGTACGGTTTTAGTAATAAGAAATGCTTGCACCTTAGCTCCGGGAAGCGGCTAAGATCCAGAAAATGGGGGTTCAGCCCAAACCCAAATAGACTTAGTGCTAGGCGCTAGCCGCTAGCCTTCGCACTAAGTCCAAGCCTAAGCCTAAGCCGTAACCGCCATCCTGTAAAGTGTTGTGCTTTACAAAAGGATGAAGCTTTTTAATCTAAATGTCAACTCTCAATGTTTATACGAAAATAATACTCAAGTTTTATTTCTTGAAACCTTTAGGACACTCTTCCTTATGATTACAATCGAGTGATATTACCGCGGATACCCAGTGATGAAAACTCGCACTATATCAATGCCAGCTATGTGAATGTAAGTAGAAAATTTTGTGTAAACTCACTATTTGTTGGATAAATAATCGATAATCGTATTATTTTTAGAGTTGGCTCCGGGAAAAGCAATACGTTGTCACACAGGCGATTCGCACAAAGCCGATGAATGCCGAGTTCTGGCGATTAATTTGGGAAGTGCGCACGAATTGTATCGTCATGCTCACGAAAGTCTTTGATTTTATGCGGGTAAATGATTTGGCTAAACATTTTCTCATTCATTCTCTTTCTATGACCTCTGTGCAGTGTGCGAGAGAATACCGATGGGGGCAATGATTATTAGATATTTATTCTGAATCTAGCACAATACTAATCTAGCGAGAAAATACAAAAGAATAGAATCAATCGTTGGCTCAGTGTTTCATAGCAATATGAAAAGCAATACGAAAGGGAATATACGGAAAGAGCCTATAAAGTGGGGTCCGTCCCTTTTATCCGTCCCTTTATCATAAAAGCGATCTTTTAGAGGCGGGACAAGAAAATCCGACATTCAAATCAAAACATTAAATAAGATTTCACAGAAAAGAGCCACTTTTCTGGACATCCAATCTCTCAATAGCCAACTTTTCCGATCCAATCTCTCCATAGCCAACTGGTTAAGAACCCTGAATCCCAGTCGGGTGTCGGGTGGTCACGGGTTCGATACCGCTTAGATTGTTGCTAGATTGTTGGCGCTTTTTTCTAGATATTCTATACATTTCAGGTTATGTTTGTGGCTTTTTGTTTCACGGTATTCGTGTGTAAAAATGGATTTAATTTAGGTAATGTGTCTCCAATACTGGCCAATGACGAAATTTCAATTCGGCGATATTGAGGTGGAGACGCTTGAAGTGAAGACTTACGCCCATTTTGTGAGTGCCAAATTTTCGTAAAGAAAAATGATTGTAGGAAATTTGATTGATAATCTGACAACTTTGAGCTGAAATCTCTTGATTTTGAGCTGTTCAATTTGAATAGTTTTTGTACGAATCGATAGAGAAAGTCTTGGCGCATCAAATGATTTCCAAGAAGATTGAAATTCGATAGCCCAACACCAAGAGATTTGAGCTTAAATTTAGATTGCTAAGGAAAAGGGGCGGGGCCATTGTGAGACATTTTATGGAATCCCGCCCTCTTTTGCCATTGGCAATTCAACTTTGAGCTCAAATCTCTTGGTGTTGAGCTGTCCAATTTATAAATTATTGGTATCATTCGATGCTCTAAATCTTTCTCTATCGATTGGTACAAAAACTATTCAAATTTCAAAGCTCAACACCAAGAAATTTGAGCTTAAAGTTAGATTGCTAATGGGAAAAGGGGCGTAGTCTGATCACCTAGAGAAATCTCGAATCTTTGAGAAAAAAGATGTAAATCGTTTTCCAGGTGATTCGAACGTTTCGTCTGTCGCGTGAAGTGGACGGTGAGAGCCAATCGAGAACAGTGAAACATTTCCATTTCACCGAATGGGAGCTCGACTCATTTCCCTACATTTCGGCGTTTATCGGTTAGTTTGACCTTCTAATTCAATGCAAACAGGTCAAAATTTGATTTGATTCAAATGGTTTAGCAAACAGGATATGAAATCCTGCATGTACAATAGATTTTAAGCTATACAGTGGCCCTCCAAGGCCCAAATTTTGTTTGCAAACTGTTTGCAAACTGTTTACAAACTGTGTGAAACTCGAAGTTGAAAGTTGAAGCTAAAACTTAAAGCTTGCGAAGCTTTGCTAGAATAAGATCTCTATAGAATAGATTTTAAAAGCTTTAAACAGTAATCTTTCAAAGTAAAGTAGTTCTTTGAAAACTTCCCCGAAAATTCTAGAACTTCGGCGACGAGTCCGTCAATATCTCGAGAGAAACCCAGTCGACGCGCCGATGGTTGTCCATTGCAGGTTATCATTCAAATATTAATATCCATAAGAGAAAAACAATCAATTTATTATAAAAGTACCCGTATGCTAAAAATGATCAAAATGAAGTAAAAAAAAGTCAGCTTCAGTCAGCTTCAGTCAGCTTTAAAGTCAGCTTTAAAGTCAGCTTCAGTCAGCAAAAGTCAGCTTTAAAGTCAGCTTCAGTCAGCTTCAGTCAGCTTTAAAGTCAGCTTTAAAGTTAGCTTTAAAGTTAGCTTTAAAGTCAGCTTTAAACTCAGCTTTAAACTCAGCTTTAAAGTCAGTACATAGAAGGTAAAACAAGAAAAAATTGAAATGGATCTGAAAAATTTCATAAGATTGTACTCGGGCGATATCAAAAATTAAAAAGCTCTTCTTTGTCTAAATCTGAATCGTCGAATCCTTTTCCTTTTTCGATACTCGGGTCTTCTTTTCCTACGACTTTTCGGTAAACATTTCCCGATTTGTTCTTCATTGCATTGAAGTCGAGCACACGAGGATGGATAAGTCTTCGACAACAATTGATTGTTCTGGATGGCGTAGTCGCGAATCCAATAGTCCACCTAAATAACAATTGCCATGAGACTTTGCTACAGTACTCCTAAAGTACCCTACAGTAACCTACAAAACTCTATAACCACAGTAAGCTTAGCTACAGTTTCTCTAGCCCTTATGCAGTACTAAATGCTTTATATGTTGTAGCCGATTATGAATTTCAGCCGATTATGAATGCGTGGGTCTAGGCGCGTCCAACCATCAAGTGTTTGGTATCATTTAGCGCAGAATCATTGATGATTATGTTAAATTTTTAAAATTAGAAATATTGGATAAAAAGAAAAAAAATTTACGGGGCCTCAAAGTTTTCTTCTCTCAAACAAACAGTTTTTTCGCTCTATTTTATTTAATTTTTATTTCTTTTCATCAAATCTTTTTAATTTTAAAAGTTTAACATAATTATCAATAATTCTGCGTTGAATGATACCAAAAACTTGATGGTTGGACACGGCAGATTTGGTTCCTTCTTGGTTCAGATTTGGTTCCTTTTCGGTACAGATTTGGTTCCTTTTCGGTAGAGATTTGGTTCCTTTTTGGTACATTTGGTTCCTTTTTGGTACATTTGGTTCCTTTTCTCTACAGATTTGGTTCCTTTTCGGTATAGATTTGGTTCCTATTCGGTAGAGATTTGGTTCCTTTTTGGTACATTTGGTTCCTTTTCTCTACAGATTTGGTTCCTTTTCTCTACAGATTTGATTCCTTTTCTCTGCAGATTTGGTTTCTTTTCGGTACATTTGATTCACTCATTCATAATCGGCTGAAATTCATAATCGGCTACGGCTACGGGGACCGATTTTGAATGAAACGTTGTAGCGCCCGCAATTTTTAACATAAACTCACAATTTTGGTAACAATCGACGCAGAATTAAATTCACTACAAAATGATATAATATTGTCCTTCTGCATTAAAGAGTTTCCCTACTAGAAAAGTTTTCCAAAAAAAATTTCATTCATAATCGGCTACGACATATATAATTAAGCGTTACCTGCAATTTAGTGAAATCGAGTAGAAATCTCGACGCTTTCTTGCCGCGGGTTGAGCCGCAAACTTTTCGGAGCAAAAACTCTGTGCAAACATGATCACAAAGAAGTTGGCGACATCTAGAAATTTTTGTGGTACTGTAGGAAATTAGAAATTAGAAAAACTGATCTTAAGATATCATTCGAATCTAGAATTTTGAGTGTACAAGTCTACAACAAATCAAATAAAGTTTTACCTATTAGCATATCCATCAAGCGTGTGTTTGAGTGCCGTATAGCCGCCACATCTTGGTCGACAGTGTCGCGTTAAAAGTGGCGCCGCTGCGGCATAGCAAGACAAATAAGTCTTCATCTAAATCTACAATATAAAAGTTGTAGTTTGTTTAAGAAGAATCTCTTTACTAAGTTTTGCTTTGTCATCAGTTTTTGATCATTTTTGCAAGTCTTTTAGTTTAATCTTTAGAAAACAAAAGGAAACCGTAGAAAAACGCTCAAATCAGATCGAACCGTTCTCTTTTTTGTAGCAAAAATACAGCCAAAACTATTATATAAATTATAGAAAGAGTTAACAATGTATTTTTGTTGGATATAAGCTAAGTCTCTCAGATTCCCCAAATCCATCCATTTCAAGGTGTTGAGTCACTTTTTTCTCATTTCCTCCTTTTTCTTAAAGATAAAAATCTACTAAAGAAAAGAAACGAAAATTTGCCGAATTCCCAGCTAATAAACCGGCTTAGCAAAATATTTGCGGTATTTGCGGTTTTTTTTTGACTCACTTCAGCGATTCTTTGTCGACAAACGTATTCGCGGAGATTGAATTGAACTGAGTACCCACATTCATCAATACATTCAGAATGTTGATGATCTAAGGAATAAAAATCGAGTTTAAAGTATTAGCCAAGTCAGTACTTTGTCCTCTTGACAAACGTGCTCTTTCTAGCACACGCCGGAAGAATTAAGCCCACCAGAGTGCGTGCATTTACACCCCACAAAGCACGCCTCTGCTCAAAAAGCCTCTTTGACTCGTACTTTGTGTTCTTCGCAAACTGGTACTGGCAAACTGGCAAACATATGCTTTCTGGTAGACTCTCAAGTTCTTAAGTCTGCTAGAAACAGTGTGTTTACACAGCACAAAGTACAAGTTAGGGTATAGATCGTTTTCTGACTTTAAACAACTCACCTAGATGACAAAAAAGATCCAAATCCTGATCGCCGATCACAGACGGTACATCGATACTCCCAAAAGCCATGTGAGCCTGTAAAAACGAGAATAACGTTTAGAATATAGATTTCATTTACGTTAACCATATCCATTCCAAAGTTGAGCTGATTGTTGCATCGCTCTAGGCATCGCGCATCCGACATCACCTCATCTCTGCGCACGTTTCCGTCAAGATCTGATGATTTTTTGATAAAAATAAGCAAATCTCTATATAATTTTACTAGAAATTCAATAGATTAAAAGAAAAACTTAATTATTTTCAAGAAAATTTATTAGATTTATAGAATAAATCAGCCGAAAAAGCCTAAACGACGAGTTTTATTGGCCGAATTTTCTATCACCAGTCGGGTGCTCGCTTGAGCCTAAGCCTCAGCCTAAGCCTGAGCCAAAGCCTGAGCCTGAGCCTAAGCCTAAGCCTGAGCCTGAGCCTAAGCCTAAGCCTAAGCCTAAGCCTAAGCCTGAGCCTTTTCTATAGCCCACACGGCCCGGGTTCAAGCCCCGGATGCTCCCTCCAACTTCGATTTTTTAAATTATTTGAAATAACACAATTACAATATATTCTAAGGTTTTCTAAAGAAGTTTTAGCTTTATTGGTGAAAACATGACTGAGAAAATGCTCGTACAGACAGACAGACAAACATGGCTCTTTTATATATGCCGTATTCTCTCTAATAGTAGTGCACCCCGGCGAGCCGAGTTAATGTCTATTTTACGGTTTCCAAGTTTTTGCAGAAGCTCAACACTCAAATCCCCCACAAGATCTCATCGTCAGCTACATTTTCCGACCCCACATCGATAGGTTCTGATAAGCGCTTTTCGAGATTTCGAGCAATTTAGGCAACGCTCAGGGTGCACTACTATTAGAGAGAATACGGTAGTAGATTTGGAGTTATTCTATCGTAATCTATATTTAAGCTTATCTTATCTATACTGCTCTTTTAAATAGCAGATTTTCTATCCAGATTTATAGATTTAATTCATTTAATAGATTTAATTAAACATAATCAGATCTAAAGATTTTCATGTCAGATAAAACGTCTGGATCCACAGTCCGGATTCCGTTAAATAAGTTTTCATGATTCAAAGTTCAATCATTTGGTTCATTTAAGCCAGATCCATTACCAGAGATCGTTCCCCGTCCAACGGAATTGTGAAAATCTTCATCATCCTCAAATTCCCTTTGAAGATAGGCCAAACGAAAGCTGGAAGGGCTACGCTTGGTGCGAGTCGAGTTTCTTGAAGCGGCTAAAGTTATCAGATACTTTAAGCACAAAATCTACAGTCTACTTATGTAAATACGGTCATCGCTTGGCTACTTTTTGCTGATAGCTAATCTAGCTTTGTTTTCTGAAACTATTACTCCAACATAGGGAAATCTTATCCTTCTCTAGTCAGATTCATTTTAAAATGGATATTTAACGATTTGAATGCACAAATCCTTGTTTTCAGTGTTTGCTTTACCTTGCTCTCCAAGTGATTGTTGTAGAAACAGTACACTAGAAAAGAATATCAAGAAATAATACATCTTTGTCAAGTCATTTGAATCGTTCAATCTCAAAATTTGTTTATAACCTTTTAAAAAGAATTTTAGCCAGTATCTATTTGTTTTTTTCTTCGATTTCTTAGATTTATTGGCTTTTTGAGAGAAAATTTGCATTTCAAGAGAAAGCCGAGAAATTGATGAGGAAAAATGGGATTCTTTTTTCGAAAATCTAAATGGAAATGATAGCTTTGTGATTTTAAATAAAAAATAGGGAAAGAAAAAGAAAATTTGAAACGAAAAAACTGGCGAACTTCAAGCTTTCAAATGACAAAAAAATAGAATTTCATTGGACCAGAAAATCAAGAGAAAAAAAGCCGCCACATCTTGGTCGAGCGTTCAAAAAGTGGCGCCGCTGCGGCATAGCAAGACAAATAAGTCTTCATCTAAATCTACAATACTACTGATCTTTATAAAGTTGTAGTTTGTTTAAGAAGAATATCTTTACTAAGTTTTGCTTTGTCATCAGTTTTTGATCAGTTTTGCAAGTCTTTTAGTTTAATCTTTAGAAAACAAAAGGAAACCGTAGAAAAACGCTCAAATCAGATCGAACCGTTCTCTTTTTTGTAGCAAAATACAGCCAAAACTATTATATAAATTATAGAAAGAGTTAACAATGTATTTTTGTTGGATATAAGCTCAATAGGTTTTGAGGAATCCGGCCGCATCTACGAGTCAAAAATCTTGCACCAAATTTCGGCCATTCTGTAGAAGTCGTAAGAAAAGATAGATCCTGCTTTACACTATCGAAGTAACAAGAAACTTTGACCCTATTGAGCCTAACAAAATCTATTGAGCTTATCAAGTTATTGAGCTTATATCAAAAGAAAAAAAAAGATAGAAAAACCAAGAAAAATAGAATCTTTTAAATTTCGATCTCGTAATCCACTTGACACTTGAGAAAAAAAAGAAGGAATTCGACTTTTGAAGTGGGGATTTTTTTGGAAAAGAAAAGAGAAAAGAGAAAAGAAAAATTTGAAGGAAAGATGGCCGTGTTTAGATAAGTTGAATGGTTTCCTGAAAAGAATCGCAATGATCACCATACCCGAAACGATTTTAGACCAAAAATAGACAACTAAAGGGTGGTCGACGAAATTTGAGGCAACATTTTTGACTCGTAGATGCGGCCGGATTCCTCAAAACCTATTGAACTTATATCCAAAATGTCGGAAATTTTCTCTAGTTTCTGAAACTTATAATCATTTTACAAGAGGTCTTTTAGTTTTTGAGGGATGCTCTTCAAAAAATGACCTCTGCATCTTGAGGATGTTATAAAACCTCGCCGAAAGTGATTTAGAGATTCACCCTAGAATATTGTGTTGTAAAACAAGCTGGTTGTTGGAAGGATGTTTTCAATTATTAGCTAAGGACTTATTTTAGTTAACTTAAACTGGAATCTGATAGAAAAATGAAAAGAATCTCAATGATCCATACCCGACAACGATTTTAAACCAAAAATAGACAACTAAAGGGTGGTCGACGAAATTTGAGGCAACATTTTTGACTTGTACATGCGGCCGGATTCCTCAAAACCTATTGAACTTTCAAAGCTCAATTGCTCAATTTTTATGGAATCTTCAAGTTTAGACGTATTTTGATCGACCTTTTAGTTATAAAGCTCAAAATTTCGGATTAGTTTTTTGGTTTAAAACATTACCCTTCATCATTTTTAGCCTGCTTGTCAAGTTTCTTGTTATTTCGATAGTCTAAACCAGGATCTATCTTTTGTTACGACTTCTACAGAATGGCCGAAATTTGGTGCAAGATTTTTGACTTGTAGATGCGGCCGGATTCCTCAAAACCTATTGAACTTATCTCCCAAATGTAGCAAATTTTCTCTAGTTTCTGAAACTTATAATCATTTTACAAGAGGTCTTTTAGTTTTTGAGGGATGCTCTTCAAAAAATGGCCTACGCATTTTGAGTTTGTTATAAAGCCTCGATTTTTGCCGTTTTTTTTCAAGTATTTGTGGTGAAAATGGTGGAAAAAGTGTGTAAAAAGACTTTTTTTTTCATTTTTCTTTCGGTTTCCAGTTTAAGTTAACTAAAATAAGACCTTAGCTAATAATTAGTCCTTAGCTAAAACATCCTTCCAGCAACGAGCTTGTTTTACAACACAATATTCTAGGGTGAATCTCTAAATCACTTTCGGCGAGATTTTATAACATCCTCAAGATGCAGAGGTCATTTTTTGGAGGGCATAACTCAAAAACTAGAAAACCTTTTGGAAAATGATTATAAGTTTCAGAAACTACAGAAAATTTGCTACATTTTGGAGATAAGTTCAATAGGTTTTGAGGAATCCGGCCGCATCCACAAGTCAAAAAGCTTGCACCAAATTTCGGCCACTCTGTAGAAGTCGTAACAAAAGATAGATCCTGGCTTAGACTATCGAAACTAGCAGGCTAAAAATGGTCAAGGGTAATGTTTTAAATCAAAAAACTAATCCTAAATTTTGAGCTTTATAACTAAAAGGTCGATCAAAATACGTCTAAACTTGAAGATTCCATAAAAATTGAGCAATTGAGCTTTGAAATTGATAGATAGCTAGATATTTGCATTAAGAAAGTCGAACTTTGGTATTCACAATCAAAAATTAAAGCTTTAAAAGGCTTTAAAAAGCTTATAAAGAGCTTTAAAAGGCTTTAGAAAGCTTTAAAGAGCTTTAAAAAGCTTTAGTACAACAAAAGTTACTATACAATTACTATAAAATTACTATAAAATTACTAAATAAAAGTTTTACTTTAAAATTAGCTAAATGTTTTTTAGCTTCTTTCTGCATTTTCTGCAAAATGACACAAGCTCTCTCTTTTTTTGGATATGTAAACGAAGCCACAAAATGAGGGCTTGGAAACATCTTGGAAACAGTTTCACATTCAAGAATAGCCTCATAAAAGTGTGTTTCGAGAGATGGAGGGGGAAAAAGAGAGCCTAAACGAGACTCAAATTCAAGGGGAAAGTAGAGGATCACCTTTTTCCAAGGAAAACATGAGATTGGTGAGAAATTGGTGTTCTCCGCTGATTCCATTTACGTGAAGAAAGCGAATGGGATATTTGAGATGGTTTTTGAAATGAAAAAACGAGAAACTGTTCTCGAAATGTCTGGATAAATAATAGTTGGATAGAAATGGTTTTTTCTGGGTTCGGGCCGGGAATGCAAAACATGATCAGCACCGGGATTCAAGCCTGCGACCTCGACCAGGCCAACGCTCTACCAATGAGCCAACGGAGCCCATTGCTGCTTTATTCGATCTTTAAACACCCCTTTACTTATCATTTCACGAATTGATGGCTATAGTTTGTTTAATTGATTCAAAAAAAAAAGTCAAATAGCTTTTTGGGGGATTTAAAGCCATTGATAGATTAACTTAGACTCAAATTTTTGTCAATTTTGTCAATCAAATCAATGTCAATCAATTCGTCAATCAAATTCCGTTTTGCAAATCTCTACAACTCGTAGAGAATTGCTTTCAAGAGCGCAATAATAGTAGACTTCGGTACTGCAATCAGTGCTAACAAAATTCAATCAGTGCTTTGCTACTGCAACCAGTGCTTTGCTACTGCAACCAGTGCTTTGCTACTGCAACCAGTGCTTTGCTACTGCAACCAGTGCTTCGCTACTGCAATCAGTGCTTTGCTACTAAGCTGTAAGACGCAATGTTGTTGATTAGATCAAAGCCAACAAATAAACATTTTTCAGTCAAAAAACGGGTAACTAGTAAAAAAAATCTTTTCTAATCAAAAAAACAGTTAAAAGTTTGAAAAAATTGTTTAAAAATTGCCAATCAAAAACCGTTCACAAAAGCTCATTTCAGTTAGGTAATCGAGAAGAGATGCTCAAGAGAAATCCATGAGAAAAACCATTTCCATGAACAGAAAAGATGGAAAATTGAAGGACATATATGGTCAGAATTGGAAAAAATAGGGAAAAGATGGGAAAAGAGAGCCGAAATTGGAGCATCGAATGGCAGACAGGAGAAGAACCTGAGAATGGACAGAAAGGACAGAAAGGACAGAAAGGACAGAAAGGACTATTTTTCTCTTGTAGTAAAGAAAAAAGAAATGAAGAGGATTCTCTCATATGGAAAGAATATGTATCTCGAAAAAAGAGAAAAGAGAAAAGAGAGGAAAGATTTCTTTTTTTTGAATTCAAGTGGACTAGTCCATTTGTGTATGTTTTCCGAATCGGCTTTTTTCTTCATTTCTGAGATTTCGTTGTGTGCATTAAAAAAAGTGACTTTGAGGGAAAGATTGAAAGAATTTTTGAGCTAAATTTTGAAGCTAAAATGAAAATGATAAATTTGGATTTAGATTTGACAACTTTAAAAACTGATTTGACAGCTTTAAAAACTGATTTGACAGCTTTAAAACTGATTTAACAGCTTTAAAAACTGATTTGGCAACTTTAAAACTGATGGACAGCTTTCAAAACTGATTTGACAGGTTTCAAAACTGATTTGGCAACTTTAAAACTGATGGACAGCTTTAAAAACTGATTTGGCAACTTTAAAACTGATTGGACAGCTTTCAAAACTGATTTGACAGGTTTCAAAACTGATTTGGCAACTTTAAAACTGATGGACAGCTTTAAAAACTGATTTGGCAACTTTAAAAACTGATTTGGCAACTTTAAAAACTGATTTGGCAACTTTAAAAACTGATTTGGCAACTTTAAAAACTGATTTGGCAACTTTAAAACTGATTGGACAGCTTTCAAAACTGATTTGACAACTTTAAAACCAAAGTACTCATAGAATGGTATCAGGAAATTTATTAGTGGATTTAAAAGAGCTAAAAAAAGTTAGATTTTAAAGTATTATGGCTGTTTTATGCTCTCTTTAAACTTTAACAACAACAACAACAACAACAACAACAACAACAACAACAACAACAACAACAACAACAACAACAAAACACACAGATTTTCTAGGAGCTTCTACGAATTTGCTTTCATGTTTCACTAGGAGAATTGGAAATTTAAAAAGTACACAAGTAGGAATTAGAAAACTTTAGACAAGACATAGTCATTGGAACCAAAGAAAAAAAAACAACTTCCGGAACTGTTTAATTGATAAAGAAACTAATCAGTTGGTAAAGAAGTGGAACGGGGAGACAAAAAGTTTAGATAAAATCCAGTATTCGAAGGTTCAATCAAATCAACTCAGATCAACCTTTAAATGAACGAGAAATTAAATAAAAAAGAAAAAGAAGAAGAAGAAGAAGAAGAAGAAGAAGAAAAAGACGAAGAAGAACGTTTTACCACATATAGAAATAAAAATTGACATAGCAAAAAAAGAAATTTTTGAGTTCAAGAAGTGAAAGGGCTTTTTTTTTTGAAAGTCTTTTTGGGTCGATCGGGGAAAAGATTTTGAGGTTAGATTTCGGTGTTTTCTCTTTCATTTCCACATGAAAAGAGAATTTAAAGTGGTGTAAATTTGCTGAGGTCTTGATCTTGATGATATATGCAGAAAATTTTGAAAACTCAAAAGAAACTGGTTATACAGAATGTAGAACACGATAAAATCCAATCTATTAATATAGAATCTTGAATTTGCATTAAATTTGCAAAAAAAACTGGCTTAATGGCTTAATAATAAAAAAAACTTTAGTAATGGCGCCGGTCGAAGTGGAGCCTTTCTGGCGCTGGACGCGAATCTGGAGTTGATGAAGAAAACTGGTGACTTTTAGCTTTATTACTTTACTAGCTGAGAAACCCGCCTAACGGCGAGTTTTTCTAGATGTTTTGAGGATTAACGGCTTTTGTCGCCGTAGAGCAGTGGATAGCGCGCCGGTCTATCGCCCATACGATCCGAGTTCGACCTCCCCACGCGACTCGAATTGTGCTTTTTAAAAAATCCAAAATCACGTTGCACAACTACATGTAATCCCCTATTCAAGAGCGCAAAAATCATTGAAAACGGTCCTCTGGAGGATGAGGAGTAGCGCGCACAGACAGACGGACAGACAGGCAGACAGACAGACAGGCAGACAGGCAGCAGACAGCCGGCAAACACAGAGGACAGGCTGGCGGCGGACAGCAACAACAGGCAGAAGACAGAAGATGGAGGCTGGGGGAGACAGCCAGACAGACAGGCAGACAGACAGACAGATGGACAGGCAGGCAGGCAGGCAGACAGCCAGCCAGACAGACAGGCAGACAGACAGACAGACAAAAAAACGTCTTAGTCTCTCTCTATATAGTAGATAATTTGCCGTGATATTATGTTAAGGAAATAGTTTTATAATCAATTTCTTAATACACACGCCTTTTAGGTCAATTGGACGTGTTCGAGTATGCAAAAACGCTTGTCAATGCGCGATCTCATTTAATCGATTCGGTCGATCAGTACATGTTCATCTATGATGCCCTGGCTGAGGTAAAAGCTTATAAAAACATTGTATTCTACAGTAATCCATTGTTCACACTATAATCTAAACTTTTACAGGTGTAAACATAGTGTACATTTGCAAAACAGTAAAGTAAACATAGTACTTTTACAAAATTTTCCTAATAGTTCTTTGCCTTGTTTTTTGAGCAAGTTCACCGATATCAATTCAACTGAATATTCTAATATTTAGAGTCATTCTACCGTAACCCATACCGTAATCGATATCTAAACTTTACAGGCAGTTTTGTGTAACGTGGCGCCGATTGCGATGTGCGAGCTGAAAGATCGCTCAACGATGTATAAAGCGAAGAAAGATCGGCAACAGATCGAGTCACAGGACAACCACGAGAACAAGGTACTGGTTGGATTTGGGTCTGGGTCCATAAAGTCCATAGCACTTAGCCTTTAACCTTTTTGCAAAATTAGTAAATGCTAAATTGCTAAATCCGTTAAATTGCTAAATCCTAAAGGTAAAACTGTTAAATGGTGAATGCTAGTAATAGGTAAAGTAATAGGTAAAGTAATAGGTAAATGTAATAGGTAAATGTAATAGGTAAATGTAATAGGTAAATGCTAGATGGGAAATCGTTTGGTGTAAAATTGAAGTTATTCAAATTAAAACGTAATTGTTTTTAGTTGTTGCTGACGTTGACGCCAACGCTACGAATCGGCGACTGCGCTGGTGGGCATCGTTTGGAGAATCGCGGGAAAAATCGAGACGTCATGGTGGTGCCGCGTGGGTTTTTAGTCTCGTGAATTTCATTAATTAGTGAATTTCATTAATTTATGGATTTATGCATGTATAAATGTAAAATCGATATTGCAATTCTGGTTATTGTTATTCCAATTCTGGTTATTCTGGTTATTCTGGTACAAATCCCAAATTTCAGCTGATCACGCGCGGCCTTACTTGCAAACATTACACGGTGAGAGCAAGGATTACACGTATATTAATGCCGTTGAAGTGGATGGATTCACAAGAAAGGTGAGCTACTATGAAGAAGGCCGATTATCTCAGTTATGGTTTTGGATTTGCTATTTTCATGCAAATTCTAGAAGCCATACAGCCAGCTTAATGGTTTTTTTTTAATGTTAATTTGGGGTAGGCTAATTTCCGCAATTTTTTTGCCCAACAGGGTCATTTGTGCAATTGGGTCGTTTGCTCAACTCTTCATAACTTTCTTCTGTGTCGATCAATCTTTATGATGTTGGTTTCATTTTGTTGCACTTATTGAGATCTACAAAATGAAACTAAAATCATAAAGATTGGCCCACTTAGAAGAAAGTTATGGCGAGTTGCGCAAATGACCCGCAAATGACTAAATGACCAAAAAAAATTGCGGAAATTAGCCTAATTTCACAAAATTCAATGGGAAAAGAAAGTTATTTGTCTACCAGTTACAGTATGATCTAAAAAAACAAAATTTCAGAGTGAGTTCATTGTGACCGAGTGGCCGAAACAGGCGACGATTGACTCGTTTTGGACGCTGATCTACGATCACTCTTGTCATACAGTCGTCAATCTCAGCAATCAGGGCAATAATAAGGTTTCTTTTAGTCTAAAAAGAAATAATTAAGCCTTATTGTATATTATAGATTTGTTATAGTACTCTTAAAACTAAAGGATGACTACGAATTTTGGTGACACCTTTGGAAAAGTTGCTAGCAAGCGTTTGACTTATTACCAAAGTGCTAAGTATTATATAAAAAAATAAAGCCCTTAATCTTGGCATTATTTATCTATAAAGAATTTTCCGATTGGAGATATACAACTCATTTTACAAGCTTTTGAATGAGCTCAAGTCGGCCACTCTTCGGTGATCGGTCATTTTTAAATTGAGCTTATTCAAAAGCTTGTAAAATGAGTTGTATATCTCCAATCCGGAAATTCTTTGTAGATAAATAATGCCAAGATTAAGGGCTTTATTTTCCTATATAACACTTGACACTTTGGTAATAAGACAAGCGTTTTCCAGCAACTTTTCCAAAGGTTTCACTTTGTATAATGAAAAAGTTTAATGAACTTTCCAATGCCATAGTTCTAATTGAGTTATGACACTATTTTACCACTAAAAGTATGTAAATTTGAAGTGATAATTCTTAGCTTTAAGATCCCAAATGTTTTAGAAAAAAAAAAAGATTCAATAGATTCTTTGAAATGTACAAGTTTTTGGGATGGCAAGGCGTGGTTCATCATCTAAAATTTACCTACACTACTGGACAATGAAATATGATATTTGAAAAAAGATCGTGACTTTCGCGCGTCTGTAACTCCGTTGCCTTTACCGTATTTCTAAATATTAATATTACCATTGTGTAGCCCTTGAAAAGAGCTTTCAGAAAATGTATAACACTAATAGTTTAAACTCAAAGACAACGGAGTTACAGACGCGCGAAAGTGACGATCGTTTTTCAAATATGATATTTCATTGTCCAGTACTGTATATCTTTGTAAATTTTCCCTTTCCAGCAATTCCCGACTTTCATCCACAACAAGGGGAAACACAACTATGGTCCGTTTATCGTTGAAGTTTTAAACTATCATCAATATCCGCAAATGACTTCACATATGGTGAAAGTAATGAAAAGAGTGAGTTTTCAAAAAGTTTATTAGTAAATCATTGTTTTTGTCGTTTTTTTTTCTCTTTCTCGAGTCTGCTAGCTTTTTCTCTAGCCGATTGTGCTTTAGATGGGAGTGTTGTGGTTTTATTTCATTGAGTTCATAAAATATTCAAGTAAAGGTACTGTAGCTAGTACGTGTACTGGCAAGGGTACTTTACTACTGTAATACTATGCTATTGGGGTACTGTGACGGTTGGATACTGTACTAAAGTTGTTTATAGTATTCGAACTTGTCAAAGGAGTATGGTAAGACAGTACAGTACTTGCTAGGTAGTACAGTACTTGCTAGGTAGTACAGTACTTACGAGATAGTATAGTACTTGCTAGATAGTACAGTACTTGCTAGATAGTACAGTACTTGTTAGATAGTACAGTACTTGCTAGACAGTACAGTACCAGATAGTACAGTTAGAACTGTATTTGAAGCCTGCTGTAGCTACTACTTACATACAATACTCTTGCTGGTACTGTAACAAAACTCTGACGGTATCCTTACCTGCCATAGGAGTAAGAAAACTAAGCAACATGACCCTTTACAGTACTTGTACTCGTAGCAACCAATTCAAAATACCGTAGTCATATCTGCGTCTACAGTAACCTAAGCTATTCTCAGCCAAGCACCCAAGCGCCACACAAAACCTCGAGTTTGGCGAATCTCTTCAAAAAGGAGCAACCGATGAAAGTGCCGACGATCGAGGGTCATCCAGCTTTTGCGCCACCGCCAAGGACTGTCCCTATTGGACAAAGCTTTCGATTCAAGCCAGAATACCGGGGAAGATATCGACGGAAAAGTGTTGAACGCTCGGATTCGAGGATTTCCCGGTCGAGCTCAAAGTCGAGACGCGAGAAATCAGCAACGAAATGGCTGCTACCGTCGGGGAAAAGGAAAGCCGCGAAATCGGCTGATGCACGTCCACGAAGATCGATCGTTGATGTGAACGATTTGTTTAAGGAGGTACCCAGTATAGGAAAGCCTTTCATATGGAGTGTTGAATGGGGGTGGAAAGGGTTTGTGAAAGTGGAGAGGGGATAGGGAATGGCCTGTGATACTCGACTTTAGACATGGGCACTATAAACTAAAAGAAATGACGAACTGTCACACTACAAATGCTTCTAACTTACTTTAAATCTGCCGGATTGAAATGATATATAGCTTAAAAAATAGAGAATTTCAAGAGCTTTCGAAGCTTTGAATTTCAAGAGCTTTGAATTAAAGCCCACAGAATAATCTTAATGCTAAAGAAAGTTACAGTGATTTGTAGTCTGATGGAAACGGACGGTACTCGCGCGTAGTCGAAGCACTGTAACTTTCTTTAGCATTAAGATTATTCTGTGGGCATCCATTCGAAAGCTCTTGAGATTCTCTATTTTTTTGAGCTATAGATCGTCTCAATCCGAAAGATTTAAAGCAAGTTAGAAGCGTTTATATTTTAGGCTTATAGTTTGTAGTGATATCTACTGTATTTGGGTAGACAGATTGTTCTATATGTGTACAAGGGTACTGTCTTGTACTTGAACCCGTTTAAACACTAGATTTTTCCCCAGCTACAGTAGTTTAAGCTTTTTGAAATATGCCAAGAAAGCTAGTATTTAGAGATTTTCACTCAGCGATCTCTAGGTACACTCAGCGATCTCTAGGTACACTCAGCGATCTCTAGGTACACTCAGCGATCTCTAGGTACACTCAGCGATCTCTAGGTACACTCAGCGATCTCTAGGTAATATAATAGTATAGTGTTTTTAGTCTTTTAGATGAATTTTGGCTTTTTACTCTTGAATTTAGATTGTACTTGGTTTAAGGCTTAATTGAAATCATTGAAATCATTGAAATGCTTGATTACCGTAGCCCATTTTAGACATTAATTAGATTAAAGTAGATCTACCGTGTACTTATGATAGTTATACTACTTTAAAATCAAGTATGAGATATGAAAAAGATCAAAGAGTACCCTGGCTTCAAAGGTAATTATTTTAAATCACTTAGTACTTAGTAGTTTTATCTAATCTAATCTAATCATCTCGAAGAATCTCAATTAATGATAATTTCGAAACGTTTCCAAAGAACACCACTTTCCAAACCTTTAGCATTTCATCCCTCTCAACACTCCACTCAAAAAAAAATACAATCCCCGCCTGGACGAAATCTCCCTTTGTCGCGCAGTTCCCTTTTCTTCCGAATCTCGATTTTTATTTCCCTAAGGTCCTATGTTGTGTCCAATTTTAAATCAATATTTTAAGAATTTTACTTGTTCTTTTTTTTGATTTCTTTCAGCCGCATCAGGCGATCCCGCGCCCCGCTGATCTCAAAGGGAAACCCGTGAGCAAACTCGTGGGTTTGCTAAGGAATGAGAAATATATTGGGAAACATTTTTCCATTTTGATGACAGAGGGTGGCTACAAAAAAAACATTGAAATCTTATAGTCGTATTGTGCTCAAGCGTAGCGTATTGTGCTCAAGCGTGAGAACGCACCCTTTCTAGCGCGCTCTTCAATTTATCGAGCGATAATTCTAGCAGAAAGGGTGTGCCAAAAACGACGCTAGAAACATCCCCTTTCTGGCGCACTTGATTCATCCATTTCTTAAGGAAAATAGTCGACAATCAACAATTGAGTGCACCAAAAGGGATGCATTTTAAAATTTGAGCTTAAAGTACACTACAAAGAATGATTTGGTTAGAAGGATGAGTCAAAACTAATCAATTTCTTAACTTGTAATCAGTTAAGAAACTTTTCTTAACTGAAGAAGAAAGGGGATACTTTAATTGTGCCAAAAACGACGCTAAAAACATCCCCTTTTCTTTGAAAAGCTTAATTGTTAAACTTAAACTTTTCAAATTAAAAGTTCAGCTAAAAGTTCAGCTAAAATTAAAGTTTTCAAAATTGTAGCCATCTTTTGATCAATTCAAGCAAAAACCTACGTTTTTCGGCTTCCCATTGTGGCGCGTTTTCCCATTAGAAAAAAAACCCGGAATGTTTTTGGGGTAGAGGAAATTCTTAGAGAATCGAAATAAAGAAAAGAAAAATGCTTAAGAAATGCTTAAGAAATGCTCACAATTTGATTCTTCGATTCTTTAACGTCTTAGTTAACCAATCGCCTGATGCCGAGCCCAGAGCTGGGCCCCAATTTGCCTGTCTGGGGTCCACAAGAGTGGGTGCCATCACGAGCACTTTGATCGTCCTTTTTCTTCGTGTCCTTGTTTTTTTGTATCAAGTATTGTCTTGTTGTCTTTGGCTTTTTATATCCTGACTACAGTATCTCAGTGCTGCTCAAAATAATAGTATAGGAAAGCTAGTATTTAAAGATTTTCACTCAGCAATCTCTAGGTAATATAATAGCTGAAATTCAGAGCTGTTTTTTACCAAGTCTTTTGTAGGCTTTGCAAAAATGAAATAATTAAATATTTTTGGGGCGACTGCGTTGGAATTTAGATTGTACTTGGTTTAAGGCTTAATTGAAATCATTGAAATCATTGAAATCATTGAAATAATTGAAATCATTGAAATAATTGAAATCATTGAAATGCTTGATTACCGTAGCCCATTTAGACATTAATTAGATTAAAGTAGATCTACCGTATACTTATGATAGTTTTACTACTTTAAAATCAAGTATGAGATATGAAAAAGATCTTTATCTGTATAGATCCAATCATTGAGATCTTACGGTAGTTCGGGTACGCTTAAAATCAACATTTATATATGAATTTTAGATAGATTTATATAGTAATTGATCTACACATAAAAAATGCATAAAAATCATATCGAGTTAACAAATTGTAAGCTCTCAATCAGAACAATTCTAAATCCAAATAGACTTTTGAAGTACCGCCCCATTGTCCCCATTGTCAGAGGTTTTTCTCGCCGCTCACTTGACCTATTTAGCTAAACTTGTTTTCATTCGATAGCCCTTTTTAATATCTATCGAATGAAATCAAGTATAGCCAAATTGGTGTAGTGAGCGGCGAGAAAAACCTCTAACAATGAGGACAACGGGACGGTACTTCAAGAGTCTATTTGGATTTGAGAATTGTTCTGATTGAGAGCTTACAATTCGTTAAATAATGGGGCGATACTTCGAAAGTATAAATCCAAATCATAATCTAACTGTACCATTGTAGTAAGATAAAACTTGTTCTGTAAAAGGGTTATCAAAAGTGTTCGTCAGTTGTTTCAGTGTTGTTTCTTGTCGTTTGTCTTTATGTTGTCCCTTTAGAAAGGAATGTCCGATATCAAGCGTTTGATGAACGTGCGAAAGAATAAATCCGAGGAAACATCGAAACAAATCGAGAAATTGGTTCGGAATTGGTTCGAACTTGTTTTTTGTGTGTCTTCTAACTCAATTCAATTTGACTATGAGTCGCCAAGAGTGGATTCCTCTTGATAGCGTTTTCTAAAAAGTGCGTTTGGGAAAAGATATCGTAGTTCGTCAAAAAGTAGTCAAGAAAAACTATTGTATTCCTTCTACTCTTTCAAATTACCGTATTAGTCAAGATTCAAGGGTTACGATAACGTAGTTAAAAAGATATCGTACTCCGAATCTTTTCAAGCTACCGCAGTCAAGAAACGATACCGTAATCCGTATCTTTTTTAAGTTACTGTACAAGCCAACAACTTACCGTAATCATTATCGCTTTTTCAACTTACCGTATCACTTAATAAGTTACCGTAGTCAAGAAATGGTACGTAGTTGTATGTTTCAAGTTATCGTAGTCAAGAAATGGTACGTAGTCGTATGTTTCAAGTTACCGTAGTCAAGAAATGGTACGTAGTCGTATGTTTTAAATTATCGTAGTCAAGAAATCGTACCTAGTCGTATGTTTCAAGCTACCGTAGTCAAGAAATGATACGTAATCGTATGTTTCAAGTTACCGTAGTCAAGAAATCGTACGTAGTCGTATGTTTTAAATTACCGTAGTCAAGAAATCGTACCTAGTCGTATGTTTCAAGTTACTGTAGTCAAGAAATGGTACGTAGTCATATTTTTCAAGTTACCGTAGCCAAGAAATGATACGTAGTCGTATGTTTTAAATTATCGTACTTATCAAAATGTAATTATCAAAATTTGGTAGTTCATATGCCTTTTTAAAGTTACCATAGCTAAAGAATGAATCTTTTTTTTACTTAAAACTTGTTACGTTGTTACGCTAACTTTTCCCAAGTCGCCAACTTTTAAAAAAACTCTATTCTCGCAGCTGTATGCGCAATGTTGTTAACATTTTCCTCAAATCGTAACAGCATGTCAGTTAAAGTTGTTGATTAGCTCAAGAATGAGATTTGAAAGAGCATAAACTTATTTTTGATCCTTTTGAGCTAATCAACAATTCGTCGTGTTCGAGAATTCTCCTTTCATTCTAAATTTACAGCCATACCAAGAATAATGAAAATTTAAAGAGATAAACGATTATCTGGAGTCATTTAGACATTCATGATCTCGGATATCATGTCGAGTGGACAGAGTCAGCAACAAATGGAGGCTGAGGTGCGCATTTGTTGCGTTATTCAGGTGAGAAAATCTTTTACGTTATTCGAGAAAAAATGAAGGCGATTTGAACGATTTTGAGCCATTTGATGAAACCCTTTTCCCATTAGCAATCTAACTTTACTTTAAGCTCAAATCCCTTGGTGTTGAGTTGTCCAATTGAAATAGTTTTTGTATCAATCGATAGAGAAAGATTTGGCGCATCTAATGATACCAAGAAGATTTAAATTGGACATCCCAACGCCAAGATTATTGAGCTCAAAATTGGATTGCTAATGGGAAAAGGGGCGGCGCACATCGGCGCGAAATAAGGCAAAAATGCGTTTTCTAGCCGAACCAACAACCCCATACTTTTGCGCGGGATTCACGTCGCGCGCCATAGACCACTCGGTCACGGTTTCCCCTTATGTTTTTAGTGTATTTTGCAAAATTTCTTGAAAGATGTTATAACTTTTTGTAGAGTTGAGCAAATTTGATGATTTTTGCATCAAAATGTTCGTAAGAGTCTTTAGAATATAATTTATCCCTTCGTTTTTGGTTCTAGACACTCGTTGTCGAGTTACGAGCCCCAAACTGCAGGGTACCACAAAATTTCCCATACAAAATGACCAAAAAACCGCTAAACCTAAATTTAAAAAATTTCTGTCAGAGGGATTTGAAAAATTCCTTCAGATTCGGAATCAGCACAATTTTCCGCATCTAAAAAGGTACTTCTAGAAAAATCCGATAGAAAACGCATTTTCGCGCCGATGTGCGGCGTATTCTACCGTTTCCGTTTCTACCGTAATCCATTTTCTAATCTACACTAATTTTGACGTATAAGCAAGTCTATTCTAAATTTGCGTACTTAATTTAAAAAAAAACGATTCCTCAGAACGCTCGTGCTTACTATTATTTAAAAAAGAAATCTGATGAATTCAGAAAAATTCGATCAAATTTTTGTTAACAACTGCGTCATGGGTATTTAAATTAAAATTATTTCTCTTTTAGGTCCGAATGTGGCCGATCGAGCACAAAGTTCCATTGTCGACGACCGGATTGATAGATGTGATAAAAATGGCGCGCTCGTGGCGAAAGAGAGCGCCGGATAGGCCTGAGACGAAGCCGACGATCGTTATGTCACAGTAGGTTTTGAAAAACAATAATATGAAGCAAATAATGCAAAAAAGTAACAGGTAAAACGCGAATTTCCGGACTTCGAGTCCGGGTTGGCGACTTTCCAAGCCTAAATTCTAAAATACACCTAAGCTACCGTAGTCGAGACGGCGTCTCCCTTTCGTCTCCCAGTCCCATTCCTTCAAAATTCATTCTTTTAAAGAATCGTTGCCCAGTGCGGCATTTCCCCGTGTCTTTTGTGCGTTTATTTTAGTTTTGCCCTTTCTCTATCCCCTTATAAAATTCTGTTTATTGTTATAGTTTCCTTGCTTCTTTTATTGTTTCTACCCCTCTTTCCTTGTTTCGTTTAGAATTGTTAAAGTTTTAGAATTTCTGTACTTTACTCTGTACACTGTACTGTACTCTGTACACTGTACTTTACTCTGTACACTGTACTTTACTCTGTACACTGTACTTTACTCTGTACACTGTACTTTACTCTGTACACTGTACTTTACTCTGTACACTGTACTTTACTCTGTACACTGTACTTTACTCTGTACACTGTACTTTACTCTGTACACTGTACTTTACTCTGTACACTGTACTGTACTAATTTTCCCGATTTTTTCGCTTTATTGCTCTTCAAACCCGTGTCTTTCAAATCACCGATAAAATTATTAAAAATCTAAACTGCTTTTCTTTGTAATCCAACCCAGCCGTTTCAACAACCCAGCCGCGAATCGTCTTGTTATTCCTCTCGTTTTAGCAAATCATTCTTCTATTTCTGTTTCTTAATGTTTCTAGGTTAAAAGATTTAGTAGTTTGGGTAAGATTTCGACCCTGAATTTGAATGTTTTGAACTTTTTTGAACCAGAATTTGATTTTTGCATACCGTAATAATTCTAATAGTAGACCACTCTATTAGAAGACCCTTTGGGGAAGGGGTTGAAAATTAGTAGACCATGGTCTTCATTAGAATTATTACGGTACTTTACTATCAAACTACCAAACTTTTTCAGTAATGGAGTGTCTCGTTGTGGGATTTACATCGGCGCCAACATTTGCATCGATCAAATGGATATGGATCATGAGGTGAAGGAAATTCTGAAGTTAATTTTACCTCTGGATTACTGTGGAAGCAGATCACTTTAGCTACAATAATTTTAGGCACTTTTTATAATGTATGTATTTTAGGTGGACGTTTTCCATGCGGTGAAACTGATGCGAATAAATCGACCTCAGCTGATCGATATGAAGGTTGAAAAAAGGCTTGTCAAGCAGCTTTCAAAAATTGAAATTTTAGGATGAATACAAATATTTGTACGATGTGATGTTGCATTGGTACATGACGAACCCGGAGTATCGACAATTCGATAAAGAGGATCCGATTCGGGGCGGAGAGGAGAGTGCACACTCGAGTCGACATGCCTCCAATAGGAATTCGGTGAGACAAAAAGAATTGAGTGTACCCTTGTAGAAGTGCTTGGCGAGAGAAGTGTCTAGGAGGTCTCGATCTCGGGTTCCAATTGGTAGACTTGATAAAATGAATCTCATTTAAGCGTTGAGTACAGCTCTGGGCTCTGGTAAGCTCTGGGCTTCACTAGCTTACTGGGTCTGATGCGCGTTTTAGATTCTAGAATAGCTTCTTCCACTTCATAATATTGCACCCAACCAGACAATATACAAACTGGGGTAAAATAGCTTTTAGGAATTTAAATTCTGGCTCTAAAACAAGTACAGGGTGCGGCATATATGGTGTTGCGCTTAATGCATCTTTTTGGCTTTCTAAAACAATACATTAAACTAAACTTAAAAATAAGATTTGATCACAATATCCCCGCGTAAATTTACATAGAACCTTAAAAATTTTTAATGACTTTGCCAACCTTAGCCGAGCAATACAAAAATGCTATGCGGCACGATGCTGAAAAACAGTTAAATTCGAGTTTGAGGTCTCTAAAAATCGCGTTTTCCCATCTTTTTCTGCATTAATACGTTTTTAGAGTTAATTACTATAAAAGTAGTGCTTTTTAAGCTCCATTATTGCAAATTTGAGCTTATCTTGGCTAACAAAAATAGGCACATTTTTGACAAATTTTTGACAATTTGACATTTTATTTTTTTCGAGAGCAGCAATCACGTTCTTTTGATGAAACAAATAAAGTTTTAAATTTTTACACAAACTGTGTAAAACTGTGTAATCTAGTGAAAAAATGTCCGCAGTTTTTAAATATCTAAAAGAAAAAACTGTAAACTCTTTTGATTTTTGAGAAAATCATTCTTTTGTTGAGTGGAACACTATATATGCCGCACTACTATAAAAGTACTATAAACTGTAGTACTACAGAAGTAATCTAAGTATGTAGTGGAACTGGAAGAGGCCTAGGGTATAGTACCACAGTAATCGGCTGCTTACAGTACTCATTAGCTTGATAGCCGACCGTGAAAGGATCAATATTGTCATTGTTTTCATAATCCTTTCTTTCAGCTCAAATTCGGCTCTCGTGGCAGCAGCGTTCGGGAACGATCGCTGCGTGACTCACGAAAGGAGAACAATTCTCATGGGAATCACTCGAACAACATTCTCTCGAGACTCTCAAATCGATAGCTTTAACTCTTACGTACTGGACCTTTACAGAAGGCTAGGTACTTGGCCAGGTTACTGTAGCCACAGTACTCCAGCGATCAACGGTTTACAATGGCTACAGTACTCTACTCCTGTCTTGCATACCCTACAATACAGTACTACGGTATTTGTCTAGATTACAGTACCCTAGTGCTATCGTATCTCATCCTACAGTACCAATTCTCAAATCCCGATTCAGCCTTCACCCACCTGTACAAACCTCATCAATTTCCCATTTTCAAATAATTTTTTTGTTAGGTGCTTTTTAATTTTTCATATTTTTCATATTTTTCTATTTTTCACCCTTCTTTCCCTGTGCGATTCACTTATTTCTTTTCTGTATTTTCTAAAATGTGCCCTCGAAAAAAAACAATCATTTTTTCTAAACATTTGCTCACCAATTGTGTCATTTTTCCTCAAAAATTGCCAAGAAAATTTTTCGTTTTACTCAGGATTTTTGATTTTTATTGATTCTTATCGATTTTTATCGATTTTTATCGATTTTAATCGATTTTAATCGATTTTAATCGATTTTAATTGATTTTTATCGATTTTTATCGATTCTTATCGATTTTTATCGATTTTTATCGATTTTTATTGATTTTTATTGATTTTTATCGATTTTTATCGATTTTTATTGATTTTTATCGATTTTTATCGATTTTTATCGATTTTTATCGATTTTTATCGATTTTGATCGATTTTTATCTATTTTTATCTATTTTTTGAACCTTATTTCACCCATGACTAGCTATAAAAGAGGATAATTTCTAAAAATTACGGTAATTTGTCGACCGGGTTTCTAAAAAGTGCTCATTTTTTATGTTGGTTTTCCATTTCTCCATTTTTGTTTTTTTTGCCTGAAATTTTGATGTTTTTGTACAAATTTTTATGAGATTAGATTAGATTTACGTTTACGCGTTTACGTTTTTTTTTTCGATTTTTTCAATTCAATTTTTTTTTCTACCCAAAATCAGTTGCTTCAATGTCGGATCTGTGATCATCCTAAAGAGAGAAATAAAAAAAAAATTTAACATAAAATATTAACATTGTTCTTTTGTTTTCTGTAAAATGAATAAAGTTTCTTTGAAAACTTGTCAAAAAAGGAGATTCGAGAAAAGAAAAACACACAAACTGTATCAGGAATAATTTTTAGGAACAAATAGTAAGCTTTAGATTGTCTCTGGATCAATTTAAAGTACAGATTTAATGCGCGCAATTCCTTTATAACTGTAGAATTTGTGTTTTTGTCGACAACTGTCTACAGTTTTTTGTCAGTTACAATATTTTTGAGGGGTTGTAAGCTCGAAAACTTGATCTTTCTTTGAAAGAAAAAGTGATTCCGATCTTCCAAACTGAGACTTTTGTTCTATTGGGAAAATGACTAACTTTTGATAAAACTCTAGAGAAAATTAAACCACCAATTAATCTAAAGTTTACTTTAGTAGAAAGTTCAATTAGTTTTCGACAAAATAACATTAAAATAACATTGACATGTCTTATGTCGGGATTTTTATCGGGACGCAAAGTCGGCGGTAGTCGGTAGTCGACTAACGATAACACTTTTTTGCAATTTTCGAAATGGAAAAATCCATTACGTTGAGATCGGGTGAGTTCGAGGGCCACTCATTGGCGGTGATCACATTGGGGAAATTGGCTGAACACCAGGCTTGAAACGTCTTCTTTGTGTGCGCAGGGGCACCGTCTTGCACAAAGGTCCAATTTTGATTATTATTGGTTGTGTTTGCGCAATGCATCACCTTTTTCTTTAAAATTTCATTCAAATAATAATCGCCATCGATTTTCACACGCTTTTCAACGAAAAACGCGAATCGGCAGTGACTCCGGCAAAAACCATCACGGATTGTGGATGAGATGTTTTCTCGACGGTGCTTCCTATTTTATCAGCATCTGCAGAGCTATTGGCGAGTATCCAATCATTTTGAGCATTGTGAAATTGCTCGCTCGTGAAGAGTTTTTCATCCGTAAAAGTGTTGTGCGATGTTCAGCACGAACGGTCCTTGCGAGAAGCGTCTTGCACCGATCGAGTCTTTTCTTTTTCTGAGGGTCGGAAATCGACTGCTTCCTTTGTAATTTGTACGAAACCAACTTCAACTTCTCTCTAACAAGTCGTCTCATCGAAGTTTCCGAAATTTTTAGATCTTTTGCTAAGCCTCGAATGCTCTTTCTTGGATTTCGTTGGATTCGTTTCTTGACGATTTTCTTGAGCCTGTTGGTCGTGACGGTAACTTTTCTTCCTGTTCTTGGACGGTCCTTAAGCGTTCCAAGTGCGATAGCATCATAAACCGTACGCCGAGGCAGTTTGAGTCGTCGAATGATGTCAGGTGGAGAAACGCCCTTTTGATGAAGATCGAGTATTGCCCTCGACTTGCTGATGGCTTCACCATCGTTCACCTAAAAATGTTTACGTTTACGGTTCCAATACGGTTCCAATACGGTTCCTATTTTTATCCAATACGGTTCATATTTTGATCCAATACGGTTCCAAAATACGTAAACGTAGGTTAACGTTCGTTTGAAGGATCTAAACATCCGTTTTGAAAACGTGGAAAAGGAAGTCGAAGGTGTTGCTGATGTTGTGGCGCGAGATTTTCGATTCGTCGAGGTTAGTGACATAATAGTTGATAGCTCATACGATGTTTTAGGTTCAAAAAACATCAAATGAATTACGAAATAAAACAGATAGAAGAACTATAAAAGAATGTTGTCCAGTCAAAAGAGAAAAAAAAATCACTTTTAACAATGTAGGCCTGCCTATGAAATGTTGCGCGGGTAATTATGGCGCACCCTGTAGTTATGATTTTTGCTGCTTTTGCCTTGATTGATGTTTGTATAGTAGGCACAGAAAGTTGAAATGTGCAATGTGCAGACTTCAAATTTGTTCTATGTAGTATGAAGAATGAGTGGGCAATAGTGGGGAAACAGGTGCGCGAGTGAGGTGGTTGTTCCCTTTACCCTTCTAGTCGAGTGTAAAGTTCTCTCTTGGAGTTGAGCCTTCAGTTCCTTCAAAACTTCCTTCAAAAACAATAGGAGCTTCATTGAGCTTTCTTGATGATTTCGTTTCTGATAAGCTTTCTGATAAGTTTCCCGTTTCTGATAAGCATTAAAAATTTATTTTCCCCCCAACTTCAAAAATGTCAATCAAGACCCGATTTTTAACCTACCCTAAAGTCTCGAGTATAAGTTCTGCCTTAATTTACATTCTCTTTAATTGCTTTGAATTTCTTTTTGTTGGGTTTTTATACATTTTTATTGTTATATAAACTTTTATTATTGTTCTTGGAGCGCGGGATACTACAGGGTGACAGCCTATCACCATTGCTATTTGTTATGTGCATGGATACATCCAGACGATAGTGTTGAAGAAGACGCTGGAAAGCATCTCTTTCGACCGTCGACGTGGATTTTGACCGGATGAAGTGGCCAGGGAGGGATCCATAAGACTGAGCACCGGAGAGGAGCAGGGCGGACGCGCCGAGCCACGCCCGGAGCAACAAATAACACCATAAAATTGCTATAACCCTCAATAAATTTACTTCTATTATTGTTCTTAAAAAGCAAAAAAGGTTATGCTGCAGCGGGGTTCGAACCCTCGACACACCGCACCGGAGACAGCCGTCAATTTGCATGCGAAAACCAAACAGAACTTATACTTGCGACTTTAGGGTAATTGATAAAGTATGCTTTTTTTTGATAAACTATGCTATCTACAAAATTTATAACGAAAAAATCCGTCGGTTCTTTTTTGCCGTAGGCAATTTAAGGTTTTTCGTCTTTTTTATCAGCACCAACACTTTGATTTTGATTATTTTAACTATCATTCGATGCAGAATAAAATGGCGCGTCGAATGATACCAAAATTACCGTATTCTCCCTGATCTTCTTTCTCATATGTCTTCCACTGGTCGAGAGGTAGTGCTCTCGGTTACAAAGCAAGCAAGAATGTTAGTATAAAGTTGTTTTGTATCAGCAATCAAAAAGTGCGCGAGTTTAAAGTGAAAAGTAAGCAAAGACTAGTAGGCACAGAAAGTTGAAATGTGCAATGGGCAAACTTCAAATTTGTTATCCATAGTATGAAGATACAGTACTGGACAATGAAATATCATATTTGAAAAAAGATCGTCACTTTCGCACGTCTGTAACTCCCTTGTCTTTGTGTTTAAACTATTAGTGTTATACAATTTCTGAAAGCTCTTTTCAAGGGCTACACAATAGTAGTAATATTAATATTTAAAAATATGGTAGAGAGTTCCGAGCGCAGGCACACTAACCACTACGCTACGAGTTGACTTTTGGGATGGCGAAAGGAAAGCGAAAAGCCTACAGTGTGCCAGAAATTCGAGAAAAGCTTTCAAGATTTTTAACGGTTTCTATAAATTCTTAACTTATCTATGCTCCTTTCGATGTTTCTATGTTTCTTGATTTCTTGCTTACATACAATACAGTTTTCTTACAGTACTGGGACAATGAAATATGATATTCGAAAAACGATCGTCACTTTTGCGCGCCTGTAACTCCCTTGTCTTTGAGTTTAAACTATTAGTGTTATACATTTTCTGAAAGCTCTTTTCAAGGGCTACACAATGGTAACATTAATATTTAGAAATACGGTAAAGACAAGGGAGTTACAGACGCGCGAAAGTGACGATCTTTTTCAAATATGATCTTTCATTGTCCAGTAGTGTAGTTACCAAATAGGAACCAAATAGATACCAAACTGGTATCAAATAGTTGCCAAATAGTTACCAAATAGGAATCAAATAGGTAGTGTAGTTCGTAAAAACCTGGGCGAATCCTGAAACATCAGTTTTGAAAAATTCCTGATATTTGCAGCTCTATTGCTCTCCAAAAATAGATTTTATTCTTTTATTCTGATGTTCCAAAGACCTTTCCCCTATCACTAATTCCCATGGTTGATGATGGCTTTGGTTTTCCGATGAGAACAAAAAAAAATCACA